TGGGGTGATAACAGTGTGGCAGGACAAAATGCATAGACTATGATTGGCCTGCTCAACGCGACGTCGCGTCTTGGGTTATCACATTTAACCCGGCTCTCTTTTCCTGTAGTCAACATGAATGGCTTCCAGCGTAGGTCACTGCGCGACGACAGCGACGCCGCGCGCGGCAAGTGATCCGTGCAACACCTCGTTCGTTCTCTTCCATCGATTCCAGAAACGTGCCATCTCGTTATGTCCGTGTGTTTCCACTGGTTCCCACAACTGCACATTTTTTCGGTGCCCGGCACGCGATAGAGGCGCCTGAGCTAATAACCCGCGCCCACCTAAGGCAGCGTTCATAGTTGGCGAACGTACACGCGATTAGGCGATGACGATTGATCGCTAACGAAGAAGATACGCATCGATCAGTCGACTAGGTGATTGGCCATCGCTAAGTGGGCGGAGCAAACGAATCGATATGTGTCCTATCCTTATCGACTTCTCGCCTATTCGCCCAGTCGATACGTATTCATTCTTTCTGAATCGTCGCGTAATCGCATGTACGATCGCAAACTCTGAACGCAGCATAAGCACATTTACAGCGATCTCCAGCAACCAATGGTAGTTAATAGTGAGTTTCCAAAGCATCTTTCCAACAAAAAGAGTGAAGGTTATGAAATTTTACTGAAGCTATATTACACGTTATCTTTTTTTTGTCAACGACCATCTGCCACCAATCCACAACTCCAAACACCACGGTGATTTTTGATCACGTTTTTTACCTACCATTCGAATTCAAATCAGCCAACACAGGTCTCACGTGAACCGTTATGATTTAGAGAAAGATATCAAGATCGGAAGTCGAAGAAGGGGAAACATACGGAGTGAAAAGGCAAGTGGGTGCCCCAAGGGTGCGCGAGTATGTTCGTTCAGCAGCGAAGGGTATTTTCTAGCGGTCCCCTTTTAGCGGTTTTAAACGATGTAGTTTCTTCATTTTCAGTGCATGTTTACTTTTACCTACATACATACATTAAATGTAGGCCCTTTATCAGGACAATCCCAGTTGGGAAGACAGAGAAAATTTAAAGGATTTTCGTCCCCCAACCCCTTCGGGGAGGATAACATACGACCCCTACTATTATTGCCCGTTTGCTCTTCATTTTGAAGGGGCATTGCACTTGAAGCGGCCGTATCCTGAGTTTCTCTGGGTGGTGCCTTATCAAAATAGGATGGCGATTGTCGGCATGATGAGGGCCATCGTTATTATTATATGCAAACGAGCTTTTCTTGATCTCTGGCAAAGTGGAATCAGTGGGCAAATTTGGATCTAATTTTCCGGATTCTGAGCTGTATTTTTCGTGGTATTTTCTTTAGCTTTGCACCTTTGACCACCGCTGCTATTATTTCCAACAGGCTGCCATTTTATCATAAAGTTCGCCTTAGACGTTTCCCGGCGCTATCGCAATATAGGGCGGCAACCTCCAGGACTAGGCGAGGAGGGGCAGAAGCCCTGGGGAAAATGAAAATGGCTAGCGCAACTTGGAGTCTCTCCACGCCCGCTCCAGGCTCACAATCAATTCCGTTCTTAACAAAAAGACACGTTACGGAGTCAGATGCACGCACTAACCCCGTAGATTGCAGATAGCAGCCCGATTTTCTCTACACATCCTATCCTACTATATATAATCGGCTAAGCGGTTGTGCGTGTGTGTGTCTGTGTGTCTGTGTGTGTGTATGTGTTTGTCTGTCTGACCGGAAATTCATAGCTCGGGCACCAGTGGTCGTCAGGAGTTGGTTTCAAGATATGATATAGGGGGTGGGACGGGAACATATTTGGTGGGGTAAAGAAAGTGATCACAACTGATAAGGGCTGATAAAAGGCGCTAGAACGCAAGTGTCGCGAAATTCATAGCTCGGGCACCAGTGGTCGTCAGGAGTTGGTTTCAAGATATGATATAGGGGGTGGGACGGGAACATATTTGGTGGGGTAAAGAAAGTGATCACAACTGATAAGGGCTGATAAAAGGCGCTAGAACGCAAGTGTCGCGAAATTCATAGCTCGGGCACCAGTGGTCGTCAGGAGTTGGTTTCAAGATATGATATAGGGGGTGGGACGGGAACATATTTGGTGGGGTACAGAAAGTGATAACAACTGATAAGGGCTGATAAAAGGCGCTAGAACGCAAGTGTCGCGAAATTCATAGTGCGCTTCGCAGCAGTCGTCAGGAGCTGATTTTGGGGCATGATATAGGGGGTGGGACGGGAACATATTTGGTGGGGGTCACGAAGTGATAACGACTGATAAGAGTAGATACGAGGCGCTGAAATACAAATTTCACGAAATTCATTGTGCGCTTCGCAGCAGTGTCAGGAGCTGATTTTGGGACATGATATAGGGGGTGGGACGCAAACATATTTGGTGGGGGTCACCAAGTGATAACGACTGATGACGACTGATATAACGACGGACGTAGAGAGCACTTGAAATAGAGAATAGAGAGCAGACTGTAGATAATGCCTTCTATTTCAATATCATTTCATCAGCGTTGTAATTCTAAACTCAAGCACCTTTCGACCGCTACTCCTTCTAGAGTTCTTGAGGATGAATGGGATGCTCGAATAAATATGATAATGAATACTAGGCATTCCGTTTTGAGATATTCGACCGCTAAATTACCTCGATACTCGACGCATAGTGGTTGTTTACATCATCACTTTAGCTGTGCACTTCACTGCGCTTATCAAACAGTGAGATACAGCCAGCCTATGCAACGGACAGTAATACATTTAACGAAGCAGCTATAATTTAGCGGTGAAACCTAAAGCTTCATCGATTGTCAGTTCTATCAATGCGCGCGGTAGCGGGCGGAGCTAAACTGGTTTACTATAAATTTGAAAGCTATGGGCTGTAATGTATAGCAGGAGTGCAACAATATTCCTGTACGAATCCTTCTACCCTTATTGTTAAGCCCATCCCCAATCGCCCTGCTGAGCTTCCTAACAATACCTAGTGGTGGGTCTCTTCAAAAAATTTTATGTTTCAGCCATCATATTTAAACTGTTATCGCAAGCGATGATGTTGGTGGAAGCATTGGTTCAAATCAGGGTCAACCATCTGCTTCACAGAGAGGGGTCGTTTTTCGAGCTGTAATCTGCTACGTCGCAATTTTGAAGTTTAGGGGCGAAGCTATGTTAAGGCGTGTTATCAACCAGCAGAGGTTGCTCTATCGAACATATTTGAAAGGAGTCGTGTAGAGGTTCCTCTTCACATAAGGGATCGTTCCAATTTCAAAACGCCCGCCTCCCCCCCCCACCGCGCCACCCCGCGCAACATTTGTCTGGTCTGGGGGGTGCGGGGGGGCTCAAGGTAATATGAAACGCAATTGGCTGCGCCTTAGGACTGGCTTTAGGCAGGTCGGGAAGGGATCTAGGAGCAATGTATGTTGTTCCATCTCCTGGCATTTTTCTCCTCTTCTCCTGGGGCGTAGACCAAGTCGCTCGGCGCTCATCCTCCAGGATCGTTTCGCTGATGTCCCCGCAAAGGGAATTGAGCGCGCCTTTAAAACTTTTCGCTATTGTTCGGCCTTTGATTCGAAATTGGGTCTTTGAGCTTTCTGTCACCGACTGTTGCTATTTATACATACACCTATAGTTCTCAGGCTTAGCTGTACCATGGTGTACGGTGTAGCGGAAATCTTTAAGTGTGCGGTGATAGGGAAATCTGTAAGTTAGTTTAGATTACATTTTGTATCACGCAGTGCTATGTTGGCTGGTTTCGAAGGGGAGTTGACGAATGAAAAATTAGCAACCACTAAAATGCAGGTAAGAGTTCGTCAATGACGCCGAAGAAAATGTTGAGAAGAAACCAAGTAAAATTGGTCCAGAACTCGAGAAATGAAGACAATTTTGCTTCAGCAGAATTCGCAATTTTGAGAGCGAGTATTAGGATGCTGACGTCATCAGTGTGAGCGCTCTCCTCATTGCTGAAGCTGTACAGTCCGCGGCTAGAGTCCAATAGTGAGTGATTAGCCCGGTGGGCGGGCAATGGCACGAGCGGCACGGGTACATTCCGGGCTGGGTCGCCTGGGCATATCGCTTCGCTGCAAAACGCGCATCGTCTGCTCTCTTGGAGGGTTGGCTGCCTTTCGACTAGACTCCCTTTATTTGACCTTATGGAGGATTCCCCGCGATCAAAATTTATAGGTGTGCCAGATAGCGTCTGTGGCGCATCCCAGATATGCCAATCGCTTTTTCTCTTGTTTACCCACTCGTTCATGCAAGCGTCGGGTTCATTCAGTAAGGGGGCGCAGCGGTGCGACAGACCATATGAGTGAAGCAATCCGACTTGTTATTTGGGGAGAAACGCTTGCGGGTGAGTGTAAAGTATTAAGCTGAAATCGGTTCGGCGCGCCCGGGATTCCCTCCCTTGCCGGTCCACTACTGTGCCCCTCCCCACTGTACCTGCCACGAGTGCCCATGGCAGTCAAGAACACATAATACAGCAAGATGAGCAGATTTCCAGTGCTTGTGATGGACGAAGTTCCCACTTACCCAGTGGAGGTACCTGAGCTCCAAGAACGAACCACAGGCTGTTAGCTTCTTCGGGTTGGTCCTTTCCTACGAGACATAACTACTTGTAACCGAGCTCCTACTTACCGAAGTCCGTCGAGTAAGGACGTAGGAGGGCAGGGGGGGGGTTGGTGATGCAAACAATGAAAACAGTTGGAATAACAAAAACACTTCAAGGAAACCTCGTAAATATAAACCTCGTGAATATTTGGCGTTTACGGTTAGCGATTCGATGATACAGTTGATGGTTTGGATACTCATTGATTACCCCTCATCCCAGGGATAAATACAGATTATCACTAGCGGGGATGATAGTGGCGCTATCAATCCAGCGGTGTTGTTGATGGTGAGCACGTACAGAGTAAACCATCTCCACCGCAGTAGGTCTTAGTTTGTCTACTGATCCGCCGAAAAGCGGCTGACTCGTCTGCTCTCGTCTACTGACTGCCGAAATGATACGTATGAGGACATTGGTCGTTCCAAACGATTTGCAATCACCATTGGAGAGGCAGATTGTCATCCGCAATATCACCAAGCGAGACTGGGTGGTGAAGATCAAGAGCGATGCACCTCGAGCGATGCAGTTCGACGCCGACAAGGTCGTCATCGACGCGAGAAAGTACGTGGTTCTCAAGATGAAATTCAATCTGAGCGAGCTTTCCTCTTACAAAAGTGGCATATCGTCGAAGATTTTCCTGTTCGCAAGACCGTTGACGCCATACAATGAGAGTTGCCTTCGAGTTTGGCTGACAAAGGAAAATAACGAGTTGACCTGCCAGCTGTCTCACGTCATTCAACTGCTGGTCACCGACAAAGTATTCTCGGCCGAAAAGCTCGTTTTGGACCTGCCCGGTTATGCGACAGCAATCGATCCCGTACCGTTTGCCATCGAGGAGGATCTGGACAGCCGTTGTGAAACTGCGTACAATATCGAAGATGACACGAATACCGCCAGGCGTGCCGATGACCAACTACTCGAACATGCAAGGTCTGCTGCAAAAACTGCAATTTAACAGTAATCCTTTGAAAGATTGTGCATGAAAAATGCTAAAATATTGAAGAGCTAATAAAGAGTTTGGCCTTTTTTTCTGTAGCTCTGTCACAGTACATCCTATCAGGTCTTTCCGAAGTTGTTAAGTTGGGGCAAATGTTGGTCCAAATCCGGTCCAAAGTCTGTCCAAATCACAGTTTCTCGAATTTCAATTGCTTTTGTCTGTCGAGTTTACCGTAAACCGAAAACGAATGTAAATCGTAAATCATGCACTTTTCAAACATGAATCCAACTTTGGCCGTCCTTCAGATCGATTGTATTCGTCAAAAGTGCAAAATGACGCCAGAAGATCAAGAAAAGCTTGATGGTCAAAGTGAACAATTGGCTGTGGATGGGACAAGGTAAGCACATTTAGTAGGACACGGTAAAGTGAGCACGGAATGGGCGGCAGCGCCGAAGTGAGCGCGGCGGTTGCGTCTCAGTTTGTCTGCTGAGTCGCGCTAATACGCTACGTTTTCGAAAATTAGAGCGATGTCCGTCAAGAGGAATGTTTGATTTGTTTAGGTCGAGAATTTGGCGATGTGACAAGCTGGAGATCCTGCGAAAAGGATTTGATGTCCATCGATTGACTTTGCTCTGCAGTCCGAGTGTTTTCGAAGACATGGCGATTCGGAGGTTTGGTGAATCAGAGTACAGACGTCAGACGAGAAGGATTAGAAAACAGTCGATTGAGTGGTGGTATCGCATCCTCTGCGCGTTTTCGCAGGTTTCGGCGGTTGTGCAGCGATAGGCATGAACTTCTTGCAAGATCGACAACGCCAGATCTCTCGAAGTAGTTATGAGCACGTCTTCACAGTCGGTTGAACCGATTCTCCTCAGTTTCGAATAGAATGATATGCTGGGCGGCTGGTTATGGAGCGTTCAGAGTTGGCGATTGTACGTGCGATTAGGCGATTAGGCGATCGCTCAATGGGCGGAGCAACAAATCAATACGTACCCTTCCCTTATCGCCTACTCGCCTACTCACCTAATCGCACGTACGATCGCCAGCCCAACTATGAATGCTCCATTAGCAAGGGATGATCTAAAACTTGCATAGCTATTGATCAGCTTTTCGACGGAAACTCCTCGAAATGGCGTTCCCGCTTTCCGGAAAGAGGTGCAAGCAAAAGTGCATGCCCACTTTCGTAATCAGCGCTGGACTGGACGGTAGGGCTTGCACGTAAATGCATCAAATCTGCGTCGATTGACTGACCAGTCTTGCTCCGTCTACTGAGCTCTTTGGATGAGCTGTTGATGCGACCGCGTGCCCATTTCGAAGCAAACAAGTTGGTGGGGTGGGCAGAAAACAAAAAACAGCGAAGAAGCTCATCCCTTGGGCAAAGGTTCACAGTTCTAGACCCACATGCGAAGGTCATTAGGCGTTTAGGCGAGTCTCCAACAAGAAAACATACGTACCGTAGAAGAATAGGCGAGTGGGCAAGTGGACCTATTAGGCGGTTAGACAGCGTTCAGAGTTGTCGATCGTACTGCGATTAGGCGATCAGGCGAGTAGTCTATAATGAAAGGGATACGTACCGATTAGGCGATTGGGCGAGTAGGCGAGTAGGCGATTAGGCGACTGCTCAATGGGCAGAGCAACATATCGATACGTATCCTTTTTTTATCGGCTGCTGCCTATCGCATATGCGATCGCTAACTTTAAAGGACCATATGAAGCGTTCACAGTTGGCGATCGTACGTGCGATTTAGGCGATTAGGCGATTAGGCGATTAGTCTATAATGAAAAATATACGTATAGATTAGGCGATTAGGCGAGTAGGCGAGTAGGCGAGTAGGCGATTAGGCGATTAGGCGATCGCTCAATGGGCGGAGCAACAAATCAATACGTATCCTTCTCTTATCGCCTACTCGCCTACTCGCCTTCGCCTACTCGCCTAATCGCCTAATCGCCTAATCGATACGTATACTTTTCTTTTGAATCATCGCCTAATCGCCTAATCGCCTAATCGCACGTACGATCGCCAACTATGAACGCTCCTATCAGGCTGGCAGGCGAGTGAGCCATTGGGCGATCGCTCGATGGGCGGAACGAACCAATTCGACACGAACAGTATATGGAGCCCAATCACCTGATCGACACGTAATCCTTTTCCTTATTGCCCAAAGACCCAAATGCAGGTGCGATTGCAATCTATAAACCTTGCCTTAGAGCGATTTGAATGATTCGTAGCGCGAGATATCCTACAAGGGAAGTAGGTACTGTAACTCATCAAAAGGAAACTCTTGGTAGAGCGACTGGTGGCTGGTAGGCTAAAAAAACGAGGGTAGGAAGATTTGGGCAGCACAGAGAAGGTAATGACGGGCAAGGAAACGGAAAGAGGGAGATTCAAATGCGTAGCCAGGGGATTGAAGTGTGAATAATTTTTCAGCTCAGAAGGTGACCTTTATTCAAGGCTGTAAAAATAAGGATGCTTGAAAGTGATGAAATTTAGTTTTTTGCTTGTGTAGCAGACGAAAAAGCACCAGGGAAGAAATCGAGACGCTTGCCAAAGCGCAGGATTACGCGGCGCTTGCGGCTCGCATGAATGGACGTCTCCTCTTTTGGCACTGCAGGTAAGAAGTTATCGTAAGGAATACATTCGCCTTTGAAGACATGACCTCAAATGAGAGTGCAGTGGGATTCATTCTAAGGCTGACTGACATCCTAGTTGAGGGAAAAAGGGAAAAACTAAAATTCTAGTTATATTTTTTGAGTGGTCAACGAACAGACAGCTTTAAATGCACTGGGCGCGGTGAGGAGAGGCGCAGGGGACGAGGGAGGCCGCAGGCACCAGGCACACAGCACATGGGGACGCACGCACGCACGTCCACACCAGTCCCCCATCCGCCTCTTGGCTATGCGTGTTCGAGTAGCCAGGGTGTGGCAGCGTTTAGCATACGTATCTACTTCAGAACAATAGAGGTCAACCCCAGCGGCGACCTTGTCCCTCGATCGTGTCTGGGTAATGGAATTTCTCAGAATTGTAGGCTCTTTTCTGTACTTAATGGGCCAGGCTCCTAGGTCTGACATAGGTAGCATCGACGTCAATGATGGAAAGGTAGATGCGGCTCTGACTTGTTCTCCGCAGCAAAAATCTGTCGAACTTCAGACTTGATGACATCATTTGGACAACCCAAACAGCGTTTGAGATCATCAGAAAACATGTCGGGGGAGGGGGGGGGCGGGGGGGGGGGGGGGGGGGGCGGGGGGCGGGGCGCGGGGGGGAGGGGGCTCAAAAATCGATATCGTTGGTACTAGCGATATCGATTTTTTGGGCCATGCAATATGTGGCAAGAAATTTTCAATTACAGCGGACTTGGTCGCGGAAAACTAAAACAATTGTTTGAAGAGAGTAACATTTTTTTGAAAATATTCTGCTACTCCCCGTGAAACTCCATCAGGAATCCCCTCTCATAACCAACGCTACGACCCTCCTCTCTTCGCAACAAATCAAAGACGGCCATCTCCCTCTCGAGAGTGGGACTCGACATGTAGCTTACCCTGTTCAAAAGAGCACAATATCGGAAAATCATACAGTTTTATTCAGGCATTCGCGCTCGCATGGAAGGCGGATTTGCTCGTTTGAATGACTTAACGATTCTGAATGTCACACGCGGATTTGCCAAATACATGCTTCAAGTCCACAAAGATAAAACGCTGACGGGAGTGGCGATTGGTTACGATGCTCGACACCACAGTAGACGGTAAGTGAAGCATTCTTTAAAGGGTTACAGTATAGCTCAGGAGGTCGGAAATGGTGTATCATAAGATGGCAATATTGAAAGAGTGAGTCATCGAAGAGTCCGGTAAAGTGATCGGAGGAATCAGGCATCCAGTTAGGGTGCATGGCGCATCCTAAACGAATCACAACCCCAAGCTGTACTTTGATTTTCCCCCTTCAGATTTGCTGAACTTGCCGCGAATGTGTTCGTTCGACATGGCATTCCCTGTTTATTTCTTCAGTGAAGTGTGCCCGACACCAGTTGTTGTGAGTTTATGGCCTCTTCGTACTTTCTTTTTTTCTTTTTTTTCTGTTTTTTAACTCCCTTCTGCCGCATGAAATTTCTTATGGCCTAGCGTATCTCTATCTCATCATGGGGTTAAAATGGTACATGGCTAGAGTGGTACTGCTACCACGCATAGTCTCGAAATCAAGGTGGGCCATGAGTTGAGAGACCTTTGATGATAAAGGAGCGTAGAAGGCATATAGGTTAGCAGTGCGCTCGAAGAGGGTTTTCAGTTAAAACCTTGAGGCCTTATTTTCCTTCCCGATTGCCGTAGACGAATAGGAGGGTAAGAAGATAGGTCGAATGTAGGAAAAGGGAGTTGGATAGGTGAAAACTTATCGGATAAACTCGAATTTGACGGCGCCATAACTCTTCTCCTGTCGGGAACCATCAAAGGTTGAGGCATATGAAGTAATAAATCTTTCTTGTGTATGCCTCGCACTCCTCCTTCTATCCAAAATCGTAATGGCTTTTGAATGCGATTAAGCTCATACAGTGGCTTGCGGGGGCTAACCGATGTCCCTCCTTTCAAAAAACGAGAAGCGTCGGGTGCAGACCATACACCACAAGTGACGACGGCCTCCACAAAATGTAAATGTTTTCTGCCAATGAAATGATTAGCCTGTTGCAGTTGTATTCTATCAGTTGTCACTAATTACAACTATCATTTACCAAAAATCAGCTATCACTATGAACCACTACTAACCAGATTTACTTGGAGGCCGTCGTCACTTGTGGTGTATGGTCTGCACCCGACACTTTCTCATTTTTGAAAGGGAGGGTACAGTTCAGCAACTTTACCCTTTCATACTGATCTAGTTTCAATTCACCGACACGTAAGGAAGGCCTCGCTGGCTTGCACGAGATTCGATCTGGAATTTGACCTATGGACCATGAAAGTAGTGCAGATTGCCACCACCTACCTCCGTCCCCTGAATTATATCCCGTGTTAAACCCCCAGCTAGGCCAATTATGCTTCCCGTCCATATGGGTTGATTATTGGTACTAAATTCGGGTCCAGGATGACAAAAATACTAATTCTAGTCGCCATCGAGTTCCCCAAAATTCGCTGCAGGAGTGATAGTTCACTGCTATTTTAAATGAGGTTCGATTGCATGGCGCATTCCAGAGAGTAGGAAAAATGGCTCTTTAGCGTAAAATTTATCTCCTATTACAGTCATGGGCAACAATAAAGCTGAACTGCGATGCTGGACTGGTTATTACAGCCTCGCATAACCCCAAGTATGACAACGGCTACAAAGCCTATTGGAACAATGGAGCACAGGTAATTTACTCTTTTTTTCATTCCATTCTTTTTCATCCCTTCATCCATTCATTATGTTTCGTGGTAATTATGTGATTTTAGATCATCGATCCACATGACACGGAAATCATTCGGATAGCAGAAGCAGAACCTTTACCGCTGCCAAACGAATATTGGGACACAAAAGACCTCATGAAGCATCCTTTGCTGAAATCGGCAGATCCGGCGATTGATCCGTACTTTGAGGTGGAACGCTCGTCGCTCTGCTACCACAAGTTAGCCTTATCGCGGTGCTACCCAACAATTACCCCTTTCTGAAGTCTCTTTAATTTCTTATAACCAACTCTTTCTGTGAAACTATATTTCCCTAACCTTTGGTTTGTTTGAATCGTGTTGTGTTGTTCGTACAAGAACATTGGCAACGCATGCCAGCAAAGCGCAACCAAGTTACCCCTATTGTCATCGCGTCGGGTAGCCGTTACTGCGGCGACATAGGAGGTCTTTCAGGCAAGGTGCGCTTTTTGGAAACGGTTTAGTACATGTTGTAGGGACGCATGTATGGACCACAAAACCATGTTCGTTTTCGCTGAACGGTTTAGTAGTACAAAAAAGTGGTGAATAATAACCTTTGATGGTTCAATCCCCCGCGCGACTAAAAATTTGCAATCAACGGCGGCCACTTGTTGGCTTCAAAATGGTCCTGACGATGAATTTGACATCATCTGATTTTGATATTTAGCGCGATTTGGCACCAAACCGTAGGCGTGCCAAATCAAATGCAAAATTTAGTCGCCACGGGGATCGAACCCTTAACAGTACCTTATGCTTCTTTTTTGGTACTGCTATAACCGTTCAGCGAAAATGAAACATGGTTTTGCGTTCCCTACATGCGTCCCTACAATATGCACAAAACCGTTTTGAAAAAAGCCCTGAAAGACCTCCCTTGGAGTTCTTCGTATATGCATCAGATGGTATCGGGAGCACCCCCCCTCATTAAGCCCCAGCAAATATGTATTTTTCATACGGCCGTTCGCCATTAATTTCGTCTGAAGTCGGCCATTATCACTTCAAATACGGTTTACAGGCCTATAGCGCGGCGTTCTGCCACAAGAACAAACCACGCTTAATTGCTAAGGACTATGCGGCGAAAAGTAATGGAGCGGCGATAAGTATGGGGGGGCTACTTAAATCGCCTCCTAGTGCCAGGATTACGAATTTCAGAAAAGGAAGCATCGTCTATTCACGTAAATCAATTCTTTTGGACACCATACATTGAACTTCCGTTCGCAGTCATGGTAGAATTTGAAAGCGGTTTGTCTTGCAAATTCAATTGGACCCGAAGGGCCAGAGCCTGGTCGTCCGGAGCGGGAATTTAGCTAGATCCCCCCCCCGCCTTGCTGCCTGGTGCATGTGGTGGCCCTACCCCCCCCCTTCCATACTTCCGAAATCACATTTGTTAATTCTTTTATCCCATAAAGGCGCTCATGTCGTTAGGAGGGACATCGGAACAGGGCATTCAAAAGCCACGGTAGGTGACACTAGGATCAAACGCAGGAGAGGGGAGAAACATCAGGGAGAACAAAAATTGCTCCATACACCCAACGAATTTCTTCCCCTCCTTGAAGCTCAGCCCGAAGTAATGTAAGTGGCTTACTCACTTGAATGTCCCCTCTAACGGCATGAGCGCCTCCATCTATTTCAGTATTTTTTCCATATTTCTGTGAGATATTATTTTCTTTCAACTTCATCTTATTGATTTCGCCTTTGTTAGGGACATAAACGCAGCTACACCGCTGAAATTCACCTATTCGGCATTCCACGGTGTTGGCTATCGCTATGCGATGCGTATGTTCAAAGAGTTTGGTTTCGCAGAAGATCGTTTCGTATCTGTCAAGGTTCGTTTATAGTTTCTTCATAACATTGAAAATAGATCGAATGGTCGCTTTTTCAGGAGCAACAAGAAGCCGATCCAGACTTCCCAACGGTCCCATTCCCGAATCCTGAAGAGGGTGCTAAGGTCAATTCTTGCTCAAGTTCTTTATCTAAGCTAGTTTCACTCATATGCACTTGCTTCGCTGTGCTATTTTTCACGCCAAATGCTTATTCAGCGTTTGGGGAGAATCGAGAATTCGCGAAAGCGATTCCAAACATTTCAATAAGATTGTAGTCTTGAATCTATTACGTAGGGTCCACCGGCCATAGTTCCAATTCCAGAATTACGAC